TCCGCCCCGGGGCGGGGCGGTGAAGGCGGGGCGGCCCGGCCCGCCGGCGGCGGAGTGCCTTGCGGTGGCGGGGCGAGCCGTGCTGCCCGCGCCGATGGTGCTCATGACCGAGCCGCGGTGCGATGCGGAGGAGCCGAGGGCAGCGCGGGCCGCCGGCCGGCGGGACAACAGGGGCGCTCCGCGGCTGTGAGTAGCGCCCGCGCCGGGACAGGGGCCCCGCTCGGGCCGTGCCCGGGCCGCCCGATGGGCCGGGGCCACGGGGAGCCGCGGGCGGGGGCGGCGGGGGAGCCCCGGGCCGCGCTGGTGGGGGCGTCGGCCTGGAAGAGCCCGGGCAAGAGTCGCCAAGGGGGCTCCGCCTCCGGCCTTAAATTGAGCGCCAACACCCCCGCTCAGCCAAGAGCCGCGCTCCAGCCCAGCGCTGAACTCCAAAGTTACACTTCTAGGAGGAGCAAGGCGTATAAATACTGCGTCTAGTCATTTCATCCAATAGCCTGGAAAGCTTTCTGAGCCGTGGCACAGAAATACAGTAGTTGTGCTTTATCGCTTATGTTAAAGTGCATCGGCTCCTGTGGGAAGCTGTGATCTTTTCCTCTGAGTGCCAGGATAACCCAGAACTTCGTCAAAAGTTCACAAAGTCTGATGCAGGCAAGAGGCATGAAAATGAGAGTTCAGTATGGTGTCCCAGAGACAGGATGGGGCACTTGGGCAGAATGGTGGTCACTTGTCTATCCTGGCGTGGTTCCCTGCTCCTCATCCAGTACCCTTACTCGTACTTGTGCATCTTAACCTAAGAAGTATTGTAAAAATTGAGCAGGTGAGGAGATTGAAAATATTTTTCCTGAGGAAGAGGAGGACCTGCTGGCTGGTAAAGGCTGTCTGCTTGGACTAACTGGTGGAAGTTTTGAAAGTCAGAGGGCTCCAAAGGGTGGGAGGACTCCCCCGAGGCTGCTGACCTTCCTAGCCTCTGAAGATGACTGGGAATGTCGAGAGTTAAAGGTTCATCTCCTGCATTGGTGTCTGGCTTCCTGCAGAGATCTTAAGTTGTTTAGGTGTTTAGGTGCTTGTGTGCCATGGCAATGACCATCACGTGAAAATGTTGCTGGAAYCAAGCAGCTGTCTCTTTCCATATCAGGCTCTCTATTCACATGAGTCTTGGCAGTCCCAAGGATAATGTTTGAGAAGTTGAGCATCTGCAAAGCAATAAGCTAAAATGTGGGGCTTTCTCATCAAAAGAAATTAAAAGAAGTTAACTTTGTCCTAATCTGGGTTAATTCCTCTTCCTAAAGAACTTTTCTTCATAAAAATTTAAACTTTTAACAGCTTCCAGGAGAAAGGAGAACAAGTTACCAGCAGCTAGTTCTTYCTCTGGAAAGAAGCTCTGAGGTCTGTGTTGGCTTTTGGTTTTCTTCCCCCAACTGTTATATGCATGACCTCCAAGCAGGTGTATTCCTAAGTATGTATCACAGTGAAATCTGTTGCCAGAAATAACTTGCTTGTTAGAGAGCACTGGGAATCAAAGTGTCTTCTAAGTGTCCTTTATCCTGTATGGTGTAATCACATCAGTGACTTCACACCACAAATGAAACATAATTCCCAGACCTTCTCTCGAGTCTTCTGACTTCAAGCCTTGGATCCTGATCCCTTGCACAGAATTATGCCAGTGAACCTAATGAAATTCTTCAGGTATGCAAGATCTGTATCTGATTTTTCTCTTGAGAGCAGAACTAGGAGTCCAAGATATTATATGGAAAGCTTAACCTCAGAGGCGCTGCACATGCACAGGTAACTGACCATGTTTCACCCTCAAATGTTTTGTCTTTCAGTCCTGAATCAGTTATAGTTTTAGAAGCAAGGTTGGTCTTAATCAGTGTGATAAATGGAGCTGTCTTACTATGACTCCCTAGGTTTTTTTAGCTATAAATTTTTACTGTTCAGTAGGTGTCATACAGGGGAAGACTAGGTGGTCTGTTCGACTTTAAGATGCAGTGTTCAGCAATACTAGCCTGGGCAGCAGGAGGGTGAAAAAAATCTGGGAGAGGCAAAAAAAAAACTTGAAAAGCTTTGTCTTAAACTAGAAAATTGATAAAAGCACTTGGAAACAAAGTTGGAATTTATTTGCCAGCTCCATTTAACTGGTGTCTGAGAAACTCATCTGAGAAACCCTCGTGTTGATTTGATCAGGAGTTAACCTCACAGGCCAAATATCTTTGTTTTGACTGATGTAAAGTTACAGGGGAGGTTGTTCAGCTCAAGAACAGAATTATGGGTTTTATTCAACTAGAAGTGAGATTCTGACTCATTGAAGATTTGGTTTTAGAAAATGTTGTATGTAAGTGTATGTGGATTTGGTGGAGTTTCATTCCCCTCATGTACTTCCACAGAGCACTATGCAACTAATTGAAAAAAAATACTAGTGGGGTTATAGAGGCTTATGGAATCTTCTAGTGCTTTCCAGAGCTCGAGGGAAAGAGATTTATGTGTATAAAGAGATTTATGTGTGTACAGTAACCTGTACTTCCTGCAGGTATGTTTAAAAGGTTGTTCAGTCTAGAGATGAACTTTGTAGCTTCATATACTGCTGCTACAGTAAAGGTTCCCTGGGGGATAGATGCATCTGAAGAGCTGAAGCTCTAGAAGTATTTTGAGTTGTTTTGGGGTTTGTTTTTTTTTTTTTTTCTTTTTTGTTTTTTTGCAGGGGTTTTTTGTATTAGTTTTTCCTAAAGGTTTCAAAATTAGAAACTGGGAAGTTTGTATTTATCTGACAGTGATTTAGAAGAGTTAAGTGCGTTCATATTGATTCAGAAAATGGGCTACACTGGCATGTTTAGTGATACTTGTATTTGCGAAGTTTGCAGTAGATCTCTGTGAGTKGTACGACCCCAGAGATATTCTGTGTGGAAGATGGGCACTAATTATTCAGACCAAAATAGTGATATGCCAAACATTTATTTCCAAGCAAACAAAAAATTTCTGCACAGAAAAAGCCTTCCAAGTGGTGTTTCTTAACCATTACATCCTAGTGTGGCCTTGGACCARAGGAGTTAACTCTTGCCTTGTATTTAGAGGATTTTTTTACCAGAAAGTGGGGTGTGTTTTATTTGTGGTGGCACTGGACCTCCCATAGAAGATGTTAGCCCTGCTTCAGGGGCAGCTGATGTAACAGATGCTATAGCATTGAAAATAAGAATGTGGTGCATTAAGGAGAAATGGCAGAGGGCTAATAGCAAGCAGTTCATATGCCTTGTCAGCTTTCCTCTACTTGCACCCATATTTGCTTCTCATGAGGCACAGGTAGCACTGGTGTCACCAGTAGTATTCGTCCTGCTATGATTCAATCTGTCTGTAAAAGTGTGATGTAATGGGTTGCTGCATGGCAAGGTTCTGCTAACATTAAGTGGCACATTCTGTCCCTTTATGGTTACCTATCGGGTAATGTCCAGTTACCAAGTGTAACAAAGAAGTGAAGAGACTGGAAGTTAACAGTCTGAAAGGTATGGAAGGTTTCTGTTTGTTTTGTTTTTTTTTTTTGTTTGTTTGTTTTGCAAAAATACATTGTAGAAAGTGGGGAAAATACGCCAATACAAGCAGTAGAAAATGCAAATTTTGTACTTCTGGACAGAGAATGTGATCTTTATGGTTTGTTTGTCCGGCATATTATTCTGCTGTAACAGATGTTTCTTAATAACTGTTTATCAGTTGATGAATTAAAACAAACATAATTGACGGACTTGTGCATAATCACAATTTGCTCTTTTTTTTTTTTTTTTTTTTTTTTGGATCCTTACTTGAGACACCAACACAATGCCTAGAACAATAATGGGGTATTTTTTTATTTATGATTCAGTTTTATTTCAGCTTTGATCTGCATTAACTCTTTTCCAGAATACTTCTACTGCTTTTTTGGGTTTTTTTTTTTTTTTTTGAGAAGGAAAAGAGGTGTAAGCATGTACTTTCAGGGAATTAAGATATTAACATATAATAAGTATCATATTTTTTAATTCATCCATTGTGGTTTTTTCTTATATTTATAACAGAAGTTGTACACTGTATCTGTAAAGATGGACAGGCTTGCAAATGAAATATTTAAATTTAAGGTGTGAGAGGGTTTTCAAGTCTAGATTTGAACCTACATTTGTTCATGATGACATTTTTRATCACTTCTGTTTCTTTCCTTTTTTATCCCTGTCACTTTAAGTGCATGCTTAACTTATAAAAGCAGCTTCTTAAAAATAATTGTTCCATGTGCAAATGCATTATGTGGGTCTGAAGAGCCATTTTTTTTTCCACCCCTGTGTCTCATGTGGCTAACCTGAAATACTCCCAAATATATTTACTGGTTGTATGCAGTCTTTGAGAAATGCTGTTAGGCAGCATAATAACTGCATCTTTGGGCAGCAGGATTTGTTGCTGGTATTTGACAGGTGATGCATAAACATTGTGTCACAGTTTTGTCTTCTTATTTCCATCTCCATAAATGTTGCAGTCATGCAGTTAGTTAGAAATTATGTAGTATCTAATGATGCCGCTGCTGGGAGTAATGATCTTTATGTTCTGTACATTGCTGTTGCTGAGTCTACTTATATCCTTTCCAATGAATCTTTTCAGACCTGTGTGACTTTAACTGAACTTCTGCCTGGCGCTGACTATCTTTGCCTCTGTCCTTGAGAAAGAGCACACTAAGGTTAGGGAGGTTAATAAGCTTCAGATAGAGTGGAAGGAAATAATGTGTACGCTGCAAATAGGCAGCAGAGAATTTAAAACAGAGAAGGGAACACAGAGACAGACTGAAGTCTTTGCCCGCTGTGGATAGAAGAGGGAAATGTTCTAGTTATGTGACTATGAAACAGCAGTTCTGTACATATCCCATAAAACCAGCCATACCCTGGCATATCCTCTACTAAGGTCTGATGATGCGTCAGTTTAGCCCTCTGGCTAACAGTTTTAGTCTGTTTATGTAAGACAGACCACCTAGCGAAAGACTCTTGATGTACCTTTGTAGCCGCCATCTGTGCAATTCTGGTTCAAAAAGAGCTGTTTAGATTTGTCCAGCCTTTTCCTCCACAAGAAGGAAGTAAATAGTGCAGAAGTCCGGTAAGTAACAGAATTATAAATGTATTCCTTTTTGGTTTTGAGAAATTTTACAATACAAAACATGCTATGGCCAGCATGGAGAGTGTGTTTTGCCGTGGAGGACAGCTTGTGGACAGTGGAAAGGCTCAGACTGAAGAAGGAGACTTTGAGACCATTCAGACTCAATATCCTGGTGATATAGGAAAAAAAAAGGTCCAGTTAGCTTTAGGAGGTGTSTGACTACCATGTGTCACAACTGATTCTAATAAGACTACCTTTTTCCAAGACTCTGGAAYGAAAATGGTTCCTTATATTCCACATCACAATCAAAGGTACTGATGTGATTAGTGTTGGTTAGACCCATTGTTGGGAGCTAGTATTTCCTAGTGTGAAATAATAGCTTTTGTATTAAATTATCCTCATTGTTTTCCATTGTTCATGGAAAAGAACACATAGGCAGATCTGTAAGAATAATCACAGGTTGAAAAGATAACAATGGGAAATTTAGCATTGCTAGATCCTTGGTGAACGATTCACTTCAGTCCTTGGTGAAATGTGTGATGAAATGTTAAAAATTACTCAAGTATTCCTTGAGACTTCAAGTTTTGTGTTCTCAGTTAGTGTTGACTTTTAAACAAGGAAAGCACGATAAAGCACAGTACATAGACAYCAACTGATGATTGCTTTTTTCTCATTGTATTTAATTTTGTTTTGCTTTGCACTGTTTTGCTGGGGAACCTCACAAAAAATGTAAATGAGATCTGTAGGAGCAGAATATATCTTTAATACACTTTAAACAAGGAAATCTTATTGAGGATTATCTTTTACCAATGCCAGTTTTCATAGAAACCACTTTATGAGCAAATCCAACCTTCTCTTTGTATAACCTTCTTCTCAAAGGAAGAAGGAGAAGAAGAAGAAGAATCTTCTTCTTCTCAAAGAAGAAGAATCAAAATTATTGTTTCTCATGTACATTGATTGAAACGATTTTTGTGCAGCATAGTGAGTCATTATTTCTAAAAGTGCCGTAGAACAGAAGCTGCTGGTCAAGTGGTTCATGACAGCATCACTTTTTAACAGCAGATAATAATATGAAAATGTTGGTAAGATTGCTCCCAGGCCTCTGCTTTCATCTCTAACTGTTCTGCATTTTTAATAACAGTTGTTAATATAATTATATAATTACATGTGTCTGGTTTTCTTTTTTTTTCCCTTTTTAAAAAAAAAAAAAATTCAATCTGATGCAACTACTTCATTTTTTTTCTTCCTCCAGAAACCAGAGGTACAGCTTCAGTATTGAGGTCAAGCCTTCATTCTTATTCTCTGGCGATCAGTCCTCATTTGTAGAGATGTTTGCATTTTTTTCAGATAGATTTGTGTTGTTTCTGCCTGAGTTAAGAACCAGCTGTGATTGATAGATGTCTATATRATGGTATTGAACATATGAATTGTAAGTAGAGGCAGTATTTATATTTTTTTCTTGAATTTGTTATTGAACAATTGGTAGAACTGGCACTTAAGTGACTTTTCCCTCTTTTCTGAATCCTGAACAAGTCATAAATCAGGAACGTTTTGTTTTTGCCTGTTATCTGTGGGGAGCTAAGGAGAAAAACATATGTTCCTATGCAAAGGAGAGGTGAATTAGTGTCTTTTGCTTAATTTTCTTCATTTTTTCCCCAGAAATATGTCTGTCAAAGGTTTTTGTTGTSTAC